CTGCATTACATGAACACACTTCAAAACATGCTCTGGTGCAAAATATATAGGACAGAAACCACGTTGGTTTGAAGAAATTATATATTGGTTCCAAGAGAAAGAAGACTACTATCCTAAAGCCATGATGAACACCTTTGCCACATGTGACCTGGCCAACCAAAACAACATCCGGAAACACAAATATATCTCCACCATCATTGACCACAACATCTATATAGGAAAAGTTAACAAAAGAGTAAGAATACTCAAGGACGCATTCAACATCCAACACTTCCTACAAATATCGGGAGATTCCCCTATCGAGAAATGCAAAGAGTGTGAGATGAATACAAAAGAAAAATCAAATAGATGCATCAGAGAAATCAACACCAAAGAAGCAATCATCATTCCAGTCAAAAGTACAAAGAATAGCTCAAAGATATTCAATCCAATAATAGGAACCTATCACATGTTCAAGTCTCTCTAAACTCCATCAGACAGATTCACAATTGAAGCCACATACTGCCAGAGAAAAATGACATCCCATATATCGAAATCAACAATACAAAAGAATACAAATCACACACAGGAGAGTTTTTAGAACTTAAACTACAACACCAAATTAAAAAAGATTTGGAAAAAATAAAAGAAACAGTTCAGGACTGGAAGATAGTAGACATCTACATGGATGGATCACTCGACAAATACACCAACAGGCAGGTAAAAATGGGCATAGGAGGGATAATAATTAACCAAGAAACACAACTCCAAGCTGAATTCAGAGGCAGATGCAAAGGATTTCCATCATTCACAAAAGCAGAACTCATGGCAATACTCATAGCACTAGCAGTGATAAACACGAACACAAAGGCGACAATATACACAGACAGTCAATGCGCAATACAAGCAATCCAATCCAAACTACCAAGGAAAAAGAGAATAGCAAAAGGAACAAACCTGCTAATGACAACTCTTATAATGAACAAGATTAAATCCAGGAAAGCATCAATGAGCTTCAAGAAAATCTAAGCATACTCAGGAGACAAAAACAACGAACAAGCAGATGAACTAGCAAAACAAGAAAGAGAACTTGGTTACGAATGGATAGTTGACATCAACAGCCAACAAATTGAAAGCCTGGTTTGTATACTACAATGGAATGGAAAATACTTAAATATTGGCACAAATGAATTTATAAAACAATGGCAAAATAGCAAGTGGATTAGTACATGGGCCATACAAAAAAGATATAAAGCATGGCTCAAAACAGAAGATGAGAGAGAAATAGACTGGAAAAGAACATGGGTTAACCTTGCACCAACAAAGATCACCAGTTTCGATACCAACCAATAGGATCATAACATTAGAGCATTCAGATATAAACTCTTGAACGATGAACTATCAACAAAAGACAAATTAAGCACAAGAAATCCAGATCTCTATAAGGATAGTAAGTGCCCCTGGTGCAACCAACAAGAAATTACAGAACATGTTTTTAGAGAGCACTATGCCAGGCAAGTCAGATCAAAGTATATCAAAATCTTAAAAGAAGAAATATCAAGCAGGATAGAAGATAAGGAGAAAAGTTCCAATTGGCAAGATCAAATAGAACAAATTATAAACGAATCAGAAAGAAATATGAGATACATAATTAAAGGCATATATAGCAAAGATCTAACCAAATTAGTAACACAAGCAAATGGAACAAAGACTAAAGCGACACTCAACAAGGTGACAAATAGAATAACAGAGGTATTGCAAAAGTTCTGGATTCAAAGATGCGAACGATTCCAACGATAGAAAAAAGAAGAGAATATTGGCAGGAAAGACAAAAGAAAGAGAAATATAGGACACACACAAAACAACATATCTGCAACACAACCAAGCCAACAGGACAGAGCAGAGAGACAAGAAGAAATCACAAAAACGCAAAGAAGGATTATAGAAAACTGGCTAGACTAGGGGAAAAATATTATTTAGTTTCATTTTTTTTACTCATATAATAATAATACTAACAGAGCCTTGGCACATTAGCCTTGACAAGTACCTTAGGGACAATGTCAATAGCAACAAGCCGATATGGAAGAGATCCGATATAGTCTAATGTGCATCTATAATAATTTATATATAGTAATTCTTGTAATAGAAATACAAATGTAAATTAAATAAAGTATATTAGGCAAGGCCTAGCTAGTTAAAAAAAAATATAGAGTTACCACTAGTTTGGAGTATCAAAAAAAAAGAAAAAAAAACGAAATATAGTATAAAAAAAAAAACTAAAAAACAAAATATGAAATACAAAACAATTTTTTTTTTAAAATAAAAAAATAAAAAAATCGTTTAATAGAAAAATCATTTATAAGAGTATATATTTTTTAGGAAAAAAAACAGAAAATTATCAGTGGCTAATTTTTATTAATCAATATATTAGGACAGATATTCCTGAAAAGTCGAAAGAGGTATATGTCGAACTCATTAATATATTTAAATAATTTCTGTTCGACTTAATTATAATAGATATTAAAGTTTTTGCAAAAAGTTTCTCCCTTCAATAAATATCTTAATAAACTAATTAAAAATCTTGATTGTACAATATTATGTAAAAATGAACAGTTTCAAAATATCGACTTGAAATTGGTCTTGCAAATTAAATTGAATGAATAACATATATTAATAAAAATTTATGGTTTTCCTTATAACAATTTAATAATGATTTTATTTTAACAAGCCAAAAGTTACTAGTTCTCTTAATATTAATTGTATATATAAAAAAAAGTTTTTCAAAAATTTAAGAATATCATAAAATGTCTAAACTACTTGGCAAGTTTAATCTCCAGTTAATTAATTCTTTATTTCATATTAGTTACACTAATATTTAAAAGAGTGTTAACAGTATTTTTAGAATTATGGCTAAATTAAAGAATGAAGATAATTAATTCCCTTGTATCTAATATAAATGAACTTTAAATTTATAATTTTAGCTTATTGCTTATTTTATTTAATTAAAAACTATTTATCATTTTGTATAAACAAATCTAATTAGAAATATGTGTTCGTGCTACTATAAATGCAAGAAATTGATATTCAAATTTTTTTTTACAATTTGCACTGAGAACAGTTCATATAAGAAATAACTTTTTATGTGAAAAAAAATTTTTTCAGCAAGTCATGGAAGTCGATTTTGATTTTAATAATGTTATCACATATAAAAAATGGTAGATAACATGAAAAATGTTGCTAAAAAGATAAAAGATATGGTTGAAATAGTAAATCAACAAGATCTTTTATCCTTGATGATAATTTAAACACTATAATATATAGATTTATTGGAAAATCAAGAAGAAAATCTTTTGAATAATGAAATTTCTTGAATTATTAAAGAAATTAAAAGAATTGATATCATTGAAAATATATATTAAGAAATTGAAAAAATTTTTAAAGAAAAGTATTAAGTTAATTTAGTGAATGTCATATTTTTCTTGCTAAAACAATTATAATTGAACTTTCACACAATTATATTCTAAGACCTATGGATCCATAGCTCAGTGATTTGAGCATCATAGGTCTGTATTACAAGCTACAGGTTCAATTCCACTAGGGAACTAATGTGATTTCCCAAAAACCATGTGAAAACCTGTATGCCATTGGTCTAATCGTATAATAACTGATGCTTCCAATTATAGAAAGACTGGTCTATAAGAGGATTGTGATACAATTGAATGTCCGAAATTGACTAGAATTATTCCTGACATGATCATGTTGTCATAAAAAGGTAATAAGAAGAGTAGATTCCAAACCGATAAAGTGCCTTTGAGGGATTCCTAATGGCTGTGTTGAAGGATACCAATCAAGTATTTGGTTGTGTGTATTTCACAGACTTTATTATCGGGAGGCCTTGTTGGGAGGTGAAAACTGTGGACCATTCTGAAGGACCGAAAACCAGAGTTCAGGATACTGTAATCGATGGCCTGATAATTAGAATACTCTTAAAAAAAATTGTTCTAAGAAAATTAAGACAGATTCGCACATCTTTCTGAAAACAGAATGGTTTACCTGTTGGCTATTCAGGTTTAGGTAGTAGTTATATATAGCATTAAGTTAAATGATACAGAGGGTGCCCATATTATTGTGGACACTTTTTATTTTTTTTATTTTTTTTTTTTCCGTTCTGCTTCAGTGAAACCGCGCTCTAAGAGTCTTATAGCGCAGGTCATAGCTAAGCTGCCCCTTATCGGGTTACACTTAATACCATTATTTGGCCCACTTTTTATTGCCACAAGACTAGAACCTACTCACAGGTCTAAGCCATCCAAGTATGGTTTGCCACCTCCACCAGCTTGGCCAATTGCTTAGTGAATTTTTTCAGTGAGACATCATTGGAGGATGAGAATACACCGGTATACCAAATTCACCCAGGAGTTGAACCTGGCCTCACCCTGCCTAGTTTAACCAAGTATCACATGCGGGGGGTTACAATTTATGGAGTCACCTAGTCAACCACTACAAATACACCCCTTAGGATAGAACATCCCGTGGTGCAAGCAACCTCCTAAGCCTCCGACTGGATCCTCGCCTTCAACGGACATTGTGATACCCTGTTGGTAGTTGTGCGACTAATGGTTTTAGTCGTCTGTACCTTTCTTTCCTTTACAGGAAGGAGTCCTTGAAACTTCTTCCCCCTTACGGAGGTATTTCCTGGGCAATACTTGTATGAAAGTATTACCAATCATATCATACTACCTTTCGACCCATAGATTACAGAAATACTATAAGATCCCTGATCGCCAGATCATCCATATGCTTCCATTTTTGGATTACAGGAGCTACTTGCCCCCAGCAGGGATTGAACCGTGGACCTTAAGGACCTGCCCTGACGCCTTAGCCCACTGGACTATGACCGGGTTGGTCTTTGGACGTAGTATTTATGTGTTGGTACTACTGTAATATCCCATGTACTGAAAGCATATATTTCAATAAAAGATGTGGACACACAAGACACCAATCATATAGTAGATACAGACATGACCAACAACACCAGAAACAACACCCCTCTTCAAGAAGACCCAACAGAAATACAGAAACACCAAATAAGACCACAAAAAATATCCACCACTACAACATACCCGCAACATACCGCCGCACCACAAAATAACAAACACAGCAGCGTACAAAGACACGAGCCAGAAACACAACCATGGAAGATCTGGAAAATAGCAACACACAATGTCAGA